ATGGTGAACAAGCTGCTGCAAAAGTCATCGCTATCATCTCGTAGATCTGCAAGTCTTTCAGGAATCTCTGAGCGCATTTGTCCTGTGGCTGTATTAATACTTGATGGAACATAGCCTTGGTGTCCACACAGACTCCGACGGCCCCTTCCATAAAGTGGAAGAGGATTTCCGGAAGTGACTTGCACTTCTAAGGGCCCTTCAGTAGTGCCGAATTTAGGGATTTAGGGCCCGAAGTGGATCCTTGGCGCTGCGTTGTTGAACGGCTTCATTGGTAGGCGTGCGCTTCTTCCTGACGTTAACTCTGCATCCTCTGCATTCCATAATCCTTTTCGCTTCCATCCTTGAAGGCTCTGTGGCGGATTTTCCGCCAAACCTCTGTACGTTTAGTTGTCGATTCACACCCTCTAGGTATAGGCGTCGGACAATCTCGTCGTGTATGAGGGTCACAGACGATCCGTCGTCGAGCAGTGCATATGTGTCCACCTTTTCGTTCTCCCGGTACATTGTCACGGGCAGAATCCGGAATATCAGGTGACCCTTATTACAATTGAAACAAACAAGGTTCCGGTGCGGAACTGATGACCAGCTCCCGTTTCTGGCTATTCCATAAATCGCTCCTGTGGCCATCATCTGACTGTTGTGACTGTTTCAAGTTCATTTCGGTTTGCGTGACAGTGGCGTGATTGAACTGCTTGTAATCCTTGACACATATGAGGCAACCTCTGGGGTGGTCGTTCTACCCCGTCTGTTCCATGCCTTCCCCATGATCACTTTTAATTGAAAGATTTCGATTCGCCCATAATTCGCATTCGCATATAACAACCTTCGCTTTGGGTCTTTACTGCTTACGTCACGTCACGTAATGGTAAATACCAGCTTAGCGAGCTCAATTAGTCACTCGCTTAGGTGCACTACCATCGGATACGGTTCTATCATGGCCGCGTGACTGGCGGCCAATCTCTTACTTAGGGGCAATTTGGCGCAGCTCCTCCATCAGGGTGGGATTCCTGTGTGCTGGTCGCCGCTGGCAGTTGGCTGTAGAAATGCTGCAAGATTGCTCCTGTCTGCCTATGTTGCCTACTCCTGAATTGGCTGCAGCTCCCTCTCCAGTTGACTTCAAATCAATTGCTTCGGACGTCCATATCGAAAGGGTAGCTGCTCCATTAAGTACTTTCGGACGTACGTGCTCCTGTACGTTATTCGGATAAATAAGCAGTGATTTACTGCCATCCTCGCTTCACTCTTCAGGGGTTTTACTAGCCTTTGATTGTTCTCCAATGCTGTAGACTGTTAATCTGCCGTCGTCTCCACGAACGCACACTGGAATATTCGCCATTTCTCTGGATGACCTTCAAACTCTAGAAGATTAGCTGTGCTATAGCGAAGCTGTGTTGTAGCTCCTGTGGTACGTGAACATAACCTCTTTCTGGTTGCATCGTGGCTGTGACACCACATGGCAAGTACCTTACAGTGGTACACGCTTTACTTCGTGTGACTTGTTGCCCTATTGCCGCGTTACCATTCAAATTCAAAATTTCGGTAGATTTCCAACTCAAAGCATGCGCGTAAAATAATGATTGATGGTGCCGATCTAAATCCCGGGAGTTGCCTCTAACACATAGTACTTAACCGAAACAAGAAAATATTAGATTTTTTAACGTAGTAAAATAACGACCAGAAAAGAAAAATTGCCATATGAACAAGAAATTTCGGCTAAGTTGAGTTTTCCGACTATATTATAGCCGGTACTCATCTTTTTCACCCACAATTTTACTAACTTTTGTAGTTTAAATTTCAGTAACAGAAAAATATCTCTAAATTGTGAGAAATTCCGAAGTTATTTGAAAAATAATCAGTTTTTATTTGCTCTTTCATTATTTCTTCATGTCAGCATGGTTTCATTAGGCGTCGCTCCACTACTACTAATTTCAAACTGATGTTATTTATACAAACTTCAGTAAAATATTTGATTGAGTCAATTACTTATTCCTGTTGTTTCAGTTACAATCACAAACTGAATCTATTGGTATTTCTTACAGACCTCCATACGTGGATCCCCAGCTAACTAGATGGAAGAACACCATTATTTTTATTTCAAAATTTACGTCAGGGTATTTCCGTGCTACACCTAAAGTCTCTCAAGGAAGTCATCCCTGCCTGATACTGTTTACAGTTTTTACTAATGCCTTCCCCCTACTTTAAGGAACTTGGTAGTACATATGTACGCAGATGCATGTTAAGCTGTGTCTTCAGTACAAATCCAAACCTTAGAAAAATTAATTGAAATTTGCCCACCATATTTCCTTGTCTTTTCCAAAAATTAAATTATATTAAAAACTAAAATTATATATACATAAATGAGAAATCTCATAGAAACAAAATTGTTCCTCCCGCTGAAACGTGCGTTCCACAGAACTACAAGCTAAGGTATTGAGATTTTTTGAACGGCAACGAGTCAAAGTCAAGCAGAGGGGTAGAGTGCTCGGCTGGTGAGCAGAGTTAAACGCGTTCACATTAGGCTCGAGCCATAAAATTCTATGCAGAAAAATTCGTCAGGAATGGCGGAGTGGTACAGCATTGAGCTATGCGCTTTGGGGGAATTTCATCAATTCTATTTATTTATGTCGCCAACAGATAAATCCTTACATGGCTACAAAATTACAACTACAATTACAATTAGAATTACAAATTACAATTACAACAACTTACATACCTCACAATAAATACCTGATTATTAAACCTTTAAAAACAACCTAATCAGAACGCTAACTAATTCGGAGGCTAAGCGGCAGAGTTTAAATATGAAAGAACCCGCTCAAACGGCTCATTTAAAAGATAATTGGCCTGTGATACTTGATCGGAAAGGGGGAAATTTGCAATGGACACCAATATTACTGGTTTTATTTATTTGTTTTGTGTATTAATACTAATGTGTGATTGTTTAACTAATATTTGCGAAATACGTCAATGTTCTCAAAGGCCAACATTAACTTTTCAGAGACTTATAAAAAATATATATCGTTGTTTAGGTGTACGCCCAGGCTTATGTCGTAGCATGTTCAATTCTGAATCTAAAGCAGTTTGTCTTATTCTGCACTTTTCCGCGCTAATGGAGTAATATGCATTTTCCCAATGCAGTCTCCTGCAGTCGCCTTTTTTTAGCGCCTGTAAAAACTATGGATTTAACTAAAAAACTTACACAAAGGGAACACCCCTTTACTCAGATTATCTTTGAAGATTCAGTCTCGTGGGACGGACAGCTTGTGATCTGGATTTCACGATCCTGTTACGGGTCAAGGTTTTGAGAGTAGGATTAGGCGCCCTTTTTAAGGGCGTCTGCCTAACTCTCTATCGGGATCTTCCACTGTGCCGGATGGCACAGGTTATCCCAGGGATAGGAACACCCGGAAAAATACTAGAGGCAGTCATATAAAAAAAAGGATACTAACTATAGAAATAGGTTGGCATCAAAAGTTTTTCAAAAAACCTTCCTGTACTTTTGCTTCAAAATTTCGTAATTTGTGGAAACGTGCTAAAATTTTTTAACAAACTTAAGCTGCGTGTAGGAGTTTCCATGTCAAATCCTATAGCTCTATCCCTTATAGTCTCTGAGATCCACGCGTTCATACGAACAGACGAACATACATACATTATTTTGTTTTTATGATTAAGAAAATCGTTTTTATTTAATAAACATGTTAATATTCCCCATTAAAATACTGCATTTAAATTTTTCTGTTATCTTGCTTAGTTTAGCCGGAATAACGACCAGAACTTTTTTTAGGTAACTGCACGAAATAAGCTGCGAGCCACTGTAGGTATATCGACTCGGCTGTTGATGCTGATCAAGAAAATATATACTCTATCAATTCTCTCACCTCCTCTTAAGCGAAAGGTCGTGTTTTTTTGTGCGCACTGCGTTTATGATAAATATTGGTAAACCTGTGTTTACTCACTTAATCAATTGCATACATATATTGTGAATCTTAAGCTTAAACCGTATCGCTTCGCGAGTGCTGTGGTATATTTGGAGTCGAATTAATAATTTGTATAATTTCAATTCCAAGCATAGCTCAACTCTGCTTCTTCCCCGTCTTATCTCTATTTCTGCATTTTTCTTTTGCACTCTTTCAAAGCTCCCGCTTCGGCTTCTTGTTTGGCACAGTGGTTCAAGGTATTGTGTTTTTTAACTTTTTAAATATTAATTATGTTTTTTTTTATTAAAACATAATTCGATAAACAATGTTAAAACATGGTCGGATATACTGACCAAAAATATAATATGTACTAAGTTCCAGCTTTCTATCTTTAAAAACAGGAAAGTTGGGTCATATCCGATCGTTCAGTTATATGGCAGGTATAGGATATAGTCGGCCGATCCTAATGAAATTTTGCATGTCGTAATGTTTTGCCAAAAATAGCTCTCTAAAGAAAATTGAAAGAGAAATATTAAAGAGAGAGAAAGAGAACAGCTGTTCAGTGTTACCCTTTTCCTTAATTTTTTTGGTCACACCAGCTCGGTAGCCAAATAAGGAGCGATTTCGCTAGCACACGTGTGACAGCAAATTTTCGTCGTCAGAGTACTAGGCTTTACTCCAAAAACACCAACGTTATACCATTTCCGATCAATCAGTTATATAGAAGCTATAGGATATAGTGGGCCGATCCCGGCCGTTCCGAATTAAATACTGCGTGCAAAGGAAAGAAGGGTGTGTGCAAAGTTTCAAGTCGATAACTTTAAAACTGAGATACTAGTGTGCGTAGAAACAGACAGACGGACAGACGGACATGCTCATATCAACTCAGGAGGTGATCCTGATCAAGAATATATATACTTTATAGAGTCGGAGATGTCTACTTCACTGCGTTGCACACTTTTGGAAAAAATTAAAATACCCTCTGCAAGGGTATAAAAATACCAGAAATTTTCATGGGGATGCCCACCTGCGTCATAGAATGTTTTACAGGCGAAAAGATGAAAAATTGTAATCCCTTTTGACAGGGTATATCACTACTATATCACTATCACTACTTCCAAGGCATTTTGGACCTTTTTTGTTGTAATAATCTAAAAATTCAATGTCAATGCTTGCCATAGTTAAATGCGATGCGCCAAATATTATACATATAATTTAAGTAGAAGAAATTCTTTTTCTCATTTCAGATTTAAGAGACAAACCATTTATTGATGCCAATTGCGCCAATTTAAACAAAAATCATTTTTGGTTTCAGTACTAGGCTTTATAATTGAATATTGGTTCAAGTTTTTATCATCTCTCGACGCCCAAAAATTCAAGTTGGCAATTCTATCAGCTGTGTTGCATTTTGAAAAACATATGGTATACAAATATTTGGTGCTTTGTTCTCACAGCCAAAAAATTAATTTGTAGAATGTCTGAAAAATGTTTTTGTTGCGTGAGTTAAAAACAGGGAGTATTATTGTTGGTATATTGATTTTCTATTTCGCTTTTTTAGAACTCGAAAACTGAGTGTAAACATGGAGAAGAAGAAAATGAACCAAAGTTTAAGTACCAACGCCTAAACAACGATTTGAAAACTATACTTAACGCCGATGCTGTTACATGTACTGCAGTTCACTCAAAGGTAGGGCTGAGCGTATCCCAATTAGTTCGTCCGTCTAACTATCATGTAAGTTTCTTATACTTGGGACTTTTCGAGGTCGCGTTTACTTACTCGATCATCAAGGAAATTCAATTGATTCGAAATTGAGCAAGAGCGGGCGACATACACATCAGGTGGCAGTCAACAAAATTGATGTAGACCCGAAGGGCGAGTACGTTGCCACATGCTCAGACGACGGAAAAGTGAGTAAACAATTAATTTGGGGAGTGTTGCGAATTAATTTCCATGTTGCAGGTAAACATTACGGGATTGTTCTCGAGCTCTATAGACCAGACACTAGATTTACAAAAATGCATAAAAGTGGTCGCCTTGGATCCTAACCCTAAGTCTTGTATTGATCGATTTATAGTGGGTGAGTGTTTTTTTATCATTGTAATAACTCATTTGTTTTTTTTTCTGAGCTTTGCTGCATTGATAACCTTTAATACATTTTATATTCTGGCCGAGGGTATTATAATTTTGGATAAAGTGTGCAACGCAGTGAAGGAGACCTCTCCAACTCTAAAAAGTATATATATTATTTATTAAGATCACCTCCTGAGTTGATTCAAGCATGTAGTGTAGATGTGGGCACGGGCCGGGCTTTTTTCTTGGTCCGCGGGCATACACAGGCCCGGGCTTTAAAATTAAGATTTGTGCGGGCTTTGTACCCGTAAAAACTAGGCCCGTTAAAGCCCGAAATGATTCCCAAATAATAAATAAGTTTTAAACAATGACCCTAAGCGCATTAGCCAAGCGCTAAGCGCTAAGCCAGGTTTCTTCCGGCAATCGCTAATCGCCTAAATACATAATTCCAAAAATGGAATGTTTACTGAATTTTTACATTTTTAGACTTAAGTTTTAGACTGTTTCGAGAAAAACGCGTTTAAAGTTTTAAGATGGCTCTCGTCGTCACCTGACGCTTCAACCATAAATCCGTCTATATCTTCAAGAGTTTTTTAAAGTTTCACTTGAAATTTTAAAGGATTATTCTTCTATAACTATTATATCTTCCAATTAAATAAAAAAAAAAATCGATTTTTTGAAACCGTGAATGGGGGGGGGTCCCCTTAAGTTATGCAAAACAAGCTGAGCCGAAGATGATATACCCTTGCAGTTAAAACCGGATATATATCGCAAACATCGAATATAGTTGCCGATCCCTATAAGAAAATCAAAATAAAAACAAGAAAGGAAAGCTAACTTCGGGCGGAACCGAAGTTTATATACCCTTGCAGTTAAAACCGGATATATATCGCAAACATCGGATATAGTTGGCCGATCCTTATGGGAATAGGAATATATAATCCAATTTATTACAATACAAAATCTAAAAAAAAAGTCCCAAACTTCTATCTTCCAAAATACGAAAGTTGATATTTCTACCAAATACCATTTCCGATCGTTCAGTTATATGGCAGCTATGAGATATAGTCGGCCGATCCTAATGAAATTTGGTAGGTTGGATTAACTGACCAAAAATAGAATCTGTATTAAATTCCAGCTTTCTATCTTCAAAAACACGAAAGTTGGGTCATTTCCGATCGTTCAGTTATATGGCAGCTATAGGATATAGTCGGCCGATCCTTATGAAATTTGGCATGACGTAATGTTTTGCCAAAAATAGCTCTCATGTAAAATTGGAACTCTCTATCTCTAAAAACACCAAAGTTATACCATTTCCGATCAATCAGTTATATGGCAGCTATAGGATATAGTCGGCCGATCCCGGCCGTTCCGACTTATATACTGCGTGCAAAGGAAAGAAGGGTGTGTGCAAAGTTTCAAGACGATAGCTTTAAAACTGAGAGACTAGTTTGCGTAGAAACAGACAGACGGACAGACAGACGGACAGACGGACATGCTCATATCAACTCAGGAGGTGATCCTGATCAAGAATATATATACTTTATAGGGTCGGAGATGTCTCCTTCACTGCGTTGCACACTTTTGACCAAAATTATAATACCCTCTGCAAGGGTATAACAATTAAATACAAACCATTTCCGATCGTTCAGTTATAGGGCAGCCATAAGATATAGTCGGCCGATCGTTATGAAATTCGGGACTTTACTTTTACTTTTCCATACTCTCTAACTCTAAAAACACCAAAGTTATACCAAAGATTATAAAGTACATAGATGGGACATCAGGGCCCAAAACGGTCAACTTTTTGCGTCGAGCTTGTTGGTGAGGGGGGAACGCACATGCATACGATTCTATTTTTAGAACTCTTTACATGTATCCGTCAACAAAAATGTGAACCTATGTGTATGTGTGAATGCTCGCACGACGGAGTAAAAATGTTTTGGCTTCCAAATTTCAATTTCGCGTTTCTGTTTTCGATGCGCCGATGTGTTAGTTGGTGGAACAAATTGTATTTTAATTCAATGCAGATCAAGACAGGATGGTAGCGTAATGCATAGAGTAGTTACTCTATGTGTAATTTTTCTGTGTTCAAATCCTTGTTAGGACTTTGAACATTTTCTTTCTTTTATAATTATTATTATTTTTTTTTTAATTGTAATATTTTTCTTTAATTTTACAATTGTAAAATTGTTTAATTCTTCATTATGTCCCGCTAATAAAATGCTAATAAAATGTCAAGGGAGTCCTTCCGGTATTTCGTCATCCGACACGTCCGTCACTTATTTTTACAACTGTAGTAGAATGCAATTAATAAAAAAAAATAATAAAAAAAATAAAAGTAAATCTAAAAATAATCATAAAACTAAAACTTGATCAAAATTGAAACAACCGCCCGCTAATGAAATCGAACCCAGGACCCCATGAATAAGGACCACGCATTATCCATCTAGGCTACCCTCGAAGTTGATTTTATGATACTTAAAATTGGTGTTAAAGGAGGCGCTAGAATCTATAGCAAAAACAGAGTTGACGAGTAAGGATAGTAAAAGATATTTCTGATCTCTTTACTCTTACATTGGTTCGGTTACAACGTTTCAAACTTTCATCGTTCCAAAGATGTTACGATCTAAAAATAGAATTCTCTCTCTCCCTATCTCATCTGCCAGCCGATTGTCGTGGAACCCGCTCTCAAATGTTTTCATTACTACAGCGGGTTCCACGACGGAAAAAATGAAAACATTTGAGAGCGGGTTCCACGACGCGGCCTGCCAAAATGCCGTAGAACCCGCACTTATAGACATTTTTACAGCGGGTTCCACTACGAACTGAGGCGTTGTTAAGGTGATTTTACAATTTTGTATTTTTTTTTATTGGATTATAAATTTAGAAAAATACATTAAAATAATAAAAATATAATGTAAATAGATTTAAAATTAAAAAAAAATGGACTTCCCGAGCCTGGTTTGAACTCATTTTACTTTGCACACCAGCCAAGCACTCTACCACTCGGCTATTCCTTATTCGTTGTCTCGCGAAAAATTTCTCAAACTTAACTTGTCGAGCAATGGAACCCGCTCGTTCCAGCGGGTTCCACTGCTGGAACCCGCCATAGAAAATTTTTCTTTGTATGAGTTGTCCCATCTATGTACTGTATAATCTTTGGTTATACCAATTCCGATCAATCAATTATATGGCAGCTATAGGATACAGTCGCCCGATTCTGGTCGTTCCGACTTATATACTGCGTGCAAATTAAAGAAGGGTGTGTGCAAAGTTTCATAGCTTTAAAGCTGAGAGAGCTAGTTCGCGTAGAAACAGACAGACAGACGGACATTCTCATATCAACTCAGGAGGTGATCCTGATCAAGAATATATATACTTTATAGGGTCTGAGATGTCTCCTTCACTGCGTTGCACACTTTGGGACAAAATTATAATACCCTCTGCAAGGGTATAAACTTCAAAACAATCATAAAGTCGAATTTGAAAAAAACTGGCATTATATTTTTAAGTAAAAAGGGGTCGGCCCACTTGATCGGCTGGCATTCAATTGATTCATCAGAAATGCCAAAAGTTTTTTGTTTTTTCAGTTTGGATTTGGACTTTTTATGCATTCTATATATGACCGACAGACTGTATCCTACAGTTGATATGTTGATATACAAAAACAGAACGATCGGAAGTAACCCAACTTTGTTTTTTTATTATAATAAAACAATTTGATTATGACATTCTTAAAGTATCCGGAAACAGTATTTGATATTTGCGACACATATCCGATCCGAAATATATTAAAATTAAGTGGGTTCCATCCCAAATTTTTCCAAATTACTCATGACCATTTTGCAAACCATACAGTAATTGTTTTTTTTTCAGGTGACGAAAAACTAGTTTTGTACAACAGAAAAATTCTTCCGGGATTTGTGACTAAAGAGCTATGTGTCGTTGAGGGTAGTGTTCTGTCAATTTGTTGGCATTTAAACCTGGTTGCATGGGCAAGTCATTTGGGTGTTCATGTTTTCGATTTGAATGAAGAATGTTCTCTGGGTCTGATTAAATGGGAAGTTCCGCCACATACTCGGCTTGAAAATTTCGACTGTCACTTGCGTTGGGAAAACGAGAACAAGCTTCTTATCGGCTGGGTGGATACCATTAGAATTTGCATAATTCGAAGGCGAAATGCAATCGAAGCTTCATCCAGAAACTTACCAGATTATGTAGTAGATCCAAGTAAGTAAAATTAAGGAGTTACAAATTATAAAATTAAATGTTTTATTATGGTACAATTTATTCTTTGCAGTCTCCACATTTCAAACTAGTTTCTATGTATGTGGACTTGCCCCCCTAACATCAAGTCAACTAGTGGTTCTTGGATTTATTAAGGAAAAAAGCGCCTCACATAAGGCACTGCGCCCCGTACTCTGCGTCATTGAATATAAACTGAATAGCAGCGAAGAATTATGCACGGATAGTCTGAACCTGCGAGGTTATGAAGATTACACCGTTAAAGACTACAGCTTGGGCTGCATAATTGAGGAAAATCTGTATTACATTGTGGCACCTAAGGACATTGTGGTCGCTAGTCTTATCGAAACAGATGATCGTGTCGAGTGGTTGATTAAACACAGGTATGCAGCGATTTTCGTAAAAATTTGGTTTTAAAGAAATTTTACTCCCTATGCTAAGGTACTAAACTGTCGCAACATTTGTCAGCAGTTGTTGTCCAGTCATAGTAGTATTCAAGAATTGAGCTGTGACCATTTCCACTGCATAGTTTACCCTTAAAGATTTGAGCCATCATTTCTGTACTGCGTTTGTGCAAGACTAAGTGATAGGACTTGCATTTTCTCGGTAAAAAAGATGTGTCAAACCGGGGATCGTGCCTTCTATAAACATAGCGCAATGGAGCCAACCATGTTCCAATAGAGACATCTTCAGATGCGTACAGTGATAGAAATTTGGAGCTGTTTGAAATATATTCACATAGTTTGCGGGATAAAACGTATCCACCTCCAAGAGCATATGGCAAGTAGTTTTTGCTTAAATAATAATTGTGCTCCTTCCATTGACCATGAAGCTTAATTGTTGCTCGGCCATTGAAATAGCCCCAATAGAGTTGAGGTAGAGGGTTAGTTCCATACTCTTGCTTTTTACGAAGTAACTTGATGTCATAAGACACCAGTTCATTTATTAGCGTATCGACTTTTACATATGTGTCATCGTCAACTTTCATAAGATAGGAAAATGTAAAATTTTGTGTAAGAACATTTAGAGTTTGGAGAATCTTTTCAGTTAGATTGTAGTAAGTATCGTAGTGCTGTTGCAGTAACAGTAGGTCGTTATGTTTTCCTTGTTCTTTAACTAAATCGTCCTGTATAGTGCTACCCAGCTGCATCGTTCCGATAGCAAACATATGTTTGACTTTAATTCTGCGTCCACTTTTAGGGGAAATAAAATTTCGCATGTTTTTTTTCCAGTTAATATAGTCTTTCAGACTTTTTGCCTGATGTTCAACCAACTCCATCTCCAAATGACCATTGGGTCCATAGTTAGGTAGATATACTAGATCTTCAGGAAAATTGGAATGATAAAGATGCTGATGAGATAGTCGAAGCCATGTGTCGCGAATGGTGTTCCTTTGCTCTATGTTGCGAGGACTGCTTAGAACGAGAACCAAAAGAAAGATGTCTGCATGCGTCGCTACATGGTGTTTACTGTGCTGGGCTGGGCATTTCTCTACAAGAATCAGTATCTTTGTGATAATACTGCCAAAAAAAAAGGCAGCTATTGCCACAAAAATAGTCACAAGGTTATTCAAACGACGCATTTTGAAATAAAAATTTTTGTTTCATAATGGATTAAAATAGGTAATGTGACCACTTTCATGAAAGAAATTGTGTACTCACATATACATATATATATATATATTCTGGTTTTATTTTTAAATAATGTGTGGTCACATTTAAAAGAGCAAACTAGTTTATAAAACGGTAACACTATAATTCATACACTAATAGAGGTGCAGAAACATCGATGTTTGCAGACATCGATGTTTTTAAAAAAACATCGCTGAAACATCGATGTTTTCAAAAATAATTTTATATTTAAAGCCTAGTACTGATTTGACGAAAATCCGCTGTTGAAAATCCGATAACGATATCGCACTTTATTCAGCTACCGAGCTAGTGTGACCAAAAAAATTAAGAAATATGGTAATACTGAACAGCTGTTGTTTGTAAACAAAAAACCAATAAGCAAAAATGAATTCAAATCAATTGGATGTTTGTGTTTTGTTTATGTATTTCGCCGCTAAGGAGCTGATTAAGAAATAGAAAACTGGGTCAAAATCAAAAACAAAATCAATCACAAATCATTTCAATGCCATTTTATGGCATTAAAATGCCCCTTGCGGGTCAAATCCCATATTATGGGCTTCGCCTTGACCGTAAAAATTTATTTTTATTTCTCCTGGCGCGTCGAAAATTTTTCGGGCCGACTATTTTTTTGTTTGATCAATTGACCCTCCATGTCACACCTATAGAAATAAATGAAATTATTTCTTTCAACTCCCCGAGATCAGCTGTTTATTTTTTTTGATCCGGCAACACCATTCAAATCGATAACAAAAATTTTTGTCAACTCAGTACCCGCAAAATCTAGGAGGCAAAAATTTCTTCTTCTTCCTTTTTTTTACACCGTTTTTTTTATATGGAGTTTGACAGCTGTCACTCGATCGACAGCGGATTTTCGTCAACTCAGTACTAAGCTTGAAAATATAATTAACAAGAAAGGAAAGCTAACTTCGGGCGGAGCCGAAGTTTATATACCCTTGCAGTTAAAACCTATATCCGGTCGCAAACATCGGATATAGTTGGCCGATCCTTATGGGAATATAAATATATAATCCAATTTATTTCAATACAAAGTCTTAAAAAAGTCCCATACTTTTATCTTTAAACATACCAAAGTTTTTATATCTACCAAAAACCATTTCCGATCGTTCAGTTATATGGCAGCTATAAGATATAGTCGGCCGATCGTTACGAAATTTGGTAGGTTGGATCAACGGACCAAAAATATAGTCTTTACCCAAGTTCCAGCTTTCTATCTTCAAAAACACGAAAGTTGGGTCATTTCCGATCGTTCAGTTATATGGCAGCTATAGGATATAGTCGGTCGATCCTTACGGAATTTGGCATGTATTATTTTGCCAAAGATAGCTCATGTAAAATTTGAACTCTCTAACTCTAAAAACACCGAAGTTATACGATTTCCGATCAATCAGTTATATGGCAGCTATAGGATATAGTCGGCCGATTCCGGTCGTTGCAAAGGTCGTACTGCGTGCAAAGGAAAGAAGGGTGTGTGCAAAGTTTCAAGTCGATAGCTTTAAAACTGAGATACTAGTTTGCGTAGAAACAGACAGACAGACGGACAGACGTACATGTTTATATCAACTCAGGAGGTGATCCTGATCAAGAATATCGGAGGTCGGAGATGTCTCCTTCACTGCGTTGCACACTTTTGACCAAAATTATAATACCCTCTGCAAGGGTATAAAAAAAAAGTCTTTATAGAATTTGTATTTAAACAAAAAACAATAACAAATTTATTCAAGTAACATATTTAGAGAAATTAATAAAATAAAAACAAAAATTCAGTCCATAGAGATCGGATAAGTCATTTATTAGTAATTCTTATTTATAAACATTAGCTGGTCAACGACTTCGGACTTCAACCGGGTACGGCGATCCGAAATTATTTGGCATGCTTTGCTAAAGGCTCTCTCTGATTCACACGAAGTGGCTGGAATACATAAGAATTTTTTTGTTAGCTCCTTGAAGGGCTACATGTTGTTTGAACACAGCTAGAATTAGAATAATTTATTTTAAAATAATCATAATACACAATTTCTATATTTACCTTCCAAAAATTTAAGGGATCGCAAGTTTCTGGCTCGTTCCCGCTTTCTACGTGTTGCCTGAGCAATATAATTGCGTCAGAACGCGTAATCGTTGTTCTTGAACTTATTTTGAGTTAAAGATTTGTAAAATAGCTCGAAGTTGGATTGGGTGGTGTAGGCGCTATCGACGCTGATGTGGATGGTTCTTGAGCCAAATTTTTAAAAACATTGTGAAGCTCGTCTTCTAATGCTCGATATGCTTGATCGGCATTATTTGTTCTTTGGAAGCCCTGTTTTTTAAACCTGTGGTCAATTAATGTTGCCATCCTAGGAACGGTGCGCGTTTCATAGTGCCCAAAACGATCATTATAGCGATCACTTAAAAAATTGAATGCCAGAATGGCTTCTGCGCTTTTAAAGCTATGTTTATAAGAAAACACTTGTATTTGAATTTCGCAGACAATTGGAATTACGAGGGACATAGTGGGGTACTTCCCGCCCGATATTAATTTTGTGGCACTGTTCCACCTAGTTGGTACCTCTTGAATTAATCCAAGGGGGACTGTCAACATTTGAGCGTCCTTAAAATGCGACAACAGTCTTGCACTTGGTAAGAATGGGTCGAATAATCTCCAATTTGAGAATTTCTTGAACCAGCAAATTAATCGTGTGCGCAAAACATGGAAAATGTTTAATTTGCAAATGTTCGAATGCCTGCTTCATTGTAGCGTCGTTATCTGTAGCTATAGTTACAACTTTATGTAGAAGTTTCCACTAATTTAGTACTTGCCGAATAGTATCAGCGATATTGAGTGCTGAGTGATTTGTGGGCGTCAAAAGACTCGCCGTCGACAAGACCGCTGTAATTAGCTGAAACTTTTTGTTTACAAAGTGGCACGTAACCGTTATGTAAGCTTCATTTGCACGGGAAGTCCATCCATCCGTGGTAATTGCAACGTACTGGACACCTTCGAGCTCACATTCCAGATCCTTTCTTAAATCTTTGTATATCTTAGGTAGCATTACTTCTCTGAAAAAGGTTCTGCTCGGGATTTTATATTTAGGGTCCATGTGCTGCATTAAATTACGGAATCCATCGTCCTCAACCATGGAAAACGGTTGAACGTCCCGTGCTATCATGAGCATTACATATTTTTCCGTTGTTTTTTTCTTTTGGGACTCATACTCCATATTTCGTTGCATCAAACTATCTAGACTTGGTGACTGACCATCTATTTCTAAAACACTATAGTTTGGATGTATACGTTTGAGGTGGTCCATTAAATTAGTTGTGTTTCCTGCCGTTTTAAACGTTTTCCCACAGTGAATGCAGGTGGCCTTAGTCTTGTCCTCGGTTTTCTTAAAGTGCTGCCACACACATGATGTTTCTCGCTTTCTTTTAGGCGACGTACCTTCAATATTTTCCTTCGTTGTACCTATATTATAAAAAATGTACAGATGAGAATTGGCCGCCACACGTGTGGACATATGTACGCAATCAACTACATTGCTTGTAGTTGTCCATGTACTGTGTAGTTTTTAATTTACTTACGGTTCAAGAACTTATCCATCGTTGAAACTGAATCAGCATCGCGCCTACACCACCAATATCACTTTCTATAAGTATAAGTAAATAATTAAACATTATTATTAACAAAATAAGTAAAATGTTACAAAATATGAACCGGTACTGATATAGAATTGAATGGCGTTGCCGGATCAAAAAAAAATAAACAGCTGATTTTGGGGAGTTGAAAGAACTAATTTTATTTATTTCGATAGGTGAAACATGAGGGGAAAATTGATGAAACGAAAAAATAGTCGGCCCGAAAAATTTTCGGCCCGCGAGGATAAAGTCAAGCTAATTAGTGCGGTCAAGGCGAAGCCCATAATGTGGGATTTGACCCACAAGGGGCATTTTTATTCCATAAAATGGCATTGAAATGATTTGTGATTGATTTTGATTTTGAACCAGTTTTCTTTTTCTTAATCAGCTCCTTAGCAGCGAAATACATAAACAAAACACAAACATCCAATCGTTTTGAATTCATTTTTGCTTTTTTGTTTTTTGTTTACAAACAACAGCTGTTCAGTATTACCCTTTTTCTTAATTTTTTTTGGTCACATTAGCTCGGTAGCCGAATAAAGTGCGATTTCGCTAGCGGATTTTCGTCGTCAGAGTACTAGGCTTAAAGCGTAGTACTGAGTTAACGAAAATCCGCTGTCGAACGAGTGACAGCTGTCAAACTCCATATAAAACAAGAAAGGAAAGCTAACTTCGGGCGGAGCCGAAGTTTATATACCCCTGCAGTTAAAACCGGATATATATCGCAAACATCGGATATAGTTGGCCGATCCTTATGAATACATCATAATAAAACCAATTAACTAAAATAAAAAATCTTGAAAAAGTCCCAAGCTTCTATCTTCAAAAATAAGAAAGTTGATATTTCTACCAAGTACTATTTCCGATCGTTCAGTTATATGGCAGCTATAGGATATAGTCGGCCGATCCTAATGAAATTTAGTAGGTTGGATCAACTGGCTAAAAATATAATCTGTACCAAGTTTCAGCTTTCTATCTTAAAAAACACGAAAGTTGGGTCATTTCCGATCGTTCAGTTATATGGAAGTTATAAGATATAGTCGACCGATCCTTATGAAATTTGGCATGTCGTAATGGTTTGCTAAAAATAGCTCTCGTGTCAAATTTAAACTCTGTAACTATAAAAACACCAAAGTTATACCATTTCCGATCAATCAGTTATATGGCAGCTATAGGATATAGTCGGCCAATCCGGGCCGTTCCGACTTATATACTGCGTGCAAAGGAAAGGGTGTGTGCAAAGTTTCAAGACGATAGCTTCAAAACTGAGAGACTAGGTCGCGTAGAAACGGACAGACAGACAGACGGACAGACAGACAGACATGCTCATATCAACTCAGGAGGTGATCCTAATCAAGAATATATATACTTTATAGGGTCGGAGATGTCTCCTTCACTGCGTTGCACACTTTTGGACAAAATTATAATACCTTCTGCATGGGTATAAAAAACGGTGTAAAAAAAGGAAGAAGACATTTTTGCCTCCTAGATTTTGCGGGTACTGAGTTTACACAAATTTTTGTTATCGATTTGAATGGTGTTGCCGGATCAAAAAAAATAAACAGCTGATTTCGGGGAGTTGAAAGAAATAATTTCATTTATTTTTATAGGTGAGACATGGAGGGTCAATTGATCAAACAAAAAAATAGTCGGCCCGGAAAATTTTCGACGCACCAGGAGAAATTAAAATTAATTTCGGCGGTCAAGGCGAAGCCCATAATATGGGATTTGACCCACAAGGGGCATTTTAATGCCATAAAATGGCATTGAAATGACTTGTGATTGATTTTGTTTTTGATTTTGAACCAGTTTTCTTTTTCTTAATCAGCTCCTTAGCAGCGAAATACATAAACAAAACACAAACATCCAATCGTTTTGAATTCATTTTTGCTTATTTGTTTTTTGTTTACAAACAACAGCTGTTCAGTATTACCATATTTCTTAATTTTTTTGGTCGCACTAGCTCGGTAGCTGAATAAAGTGCGATATCGTTATCGGATTTTCAACAGTGAATTTTCGTCAACTTAGTACTAGGCTTAAGAGAAAAAAATTTACGGACCGAAAAATTTTCGGCCCGCGAGGATAAAGTCAAGCTAATTAGTGCGGTCAAGGCGAAGCCCATAATATGGGATTTGATCCACCAGAGGTATTTTAATTCCATAAAATGGCATTGAAATAATCAGCTAATCAGCTCTTAGCGGTAGGGATGTCGAATTTTTTAAAATTATCGTATCGATAATATTTTCTGTTTTAAAAAAATATCAAAATGATATAAATATATATCGCTACAAAAAATCGATATATCGATGTTTTTGATATTTTTTTTAGTTTCCTAAAAAGTTTTTTAGAATATAAAATAATAGAAATAAAACACAGAAATTATTATTGCTGTTTAGTTTTTCTCATCTTTAGTTTTTTAAATCCATAAACATAACATTTGAAAATCATAAAGAAAAATATAACATAAAGAAAAATATAACATAAAGAAAAATAATATTCTATTTCATTATAGTCTTTGCCTGAGATTCGAGTTCTATTCATAAAAATAACATAAAATTTATCTTAAATTAAATTCAAAGTTCTTATATAATAAAAAAATAAGGAGATTGTATTCCATTATACAGTCTTGGTCTTGTATAAAGTTAGTGCCAATATTTGGCATTAATAGACTTTAAAAATACCCGTTGCGTTATGTGATTATCAGTCATTCGACTCCTTGAATCACAAACGACGCATTTTATAGCCGAAGCCAGTCTCTCCGAAGGCACTGAACTCCCAGGTGTAATTAGGTATTTCCGGGCGAGTTGATATAATCCTGGCATAGCCACCTTGTGTGCATTCCAAAATGTTAGGGGATTACTTTCCCATGATGTTTGGGGCAAACTGAGATATAATTTTAGCTCGCTGTGATCAGAGTTTTGCAAGGAAAGGCCCTTTAAAATTGACCTATTGTGGGCCTCCATAAAATCGACACACTGTTCCTCTGCATTGTCATCAGAAATCTGTAATAATTTAAAGGAAATTAATATATACTTTATTTTTGCTTCGGAATAATAAATAAATTATTAATGAATTAATTACGTTGAGTTATTATTATTATTAATGTAAATGTAAGTATTACTATTAAATTATATACATGATTACGAACTCTAAAATTTGACATACCGGGGTTTCCTTTGAAAAGGTAGAAATTTCGTTCAACAAATCATTTGTTGCCTCCTGTACCCCGATGGGTGATATGTACATTTTTTTAAATCTTGGATCAAGAAAAGATGATTTCACCAATATTTTATTTGATTCAAGTGTAAATTTTATTTTACAGTGTAGTGTAGATTTTATTTCGTGTGTGTGAAATTTTGCGACATTTTACTGCGAAATCTACATTTTTTTTCACACACACGAAATAAAATCTACACCTTCGCGGTAAAATGGCGCCAAATTTCGGCGTCATGTTGTACACATAAATATATATATTAGCGGTGCCCACACAAATACATTTACATATGTGCACAATTATACTGCGAATTTCTTTTCACACACACAAAAACACTGAAAAGAAAACGCTATTTTATATATAAATTTATTAATATGTACAAACCTTTTTTTGCTGACACTTTAAAAAAAATTCGTTATGTTTATTTTTAACATGTGACGTCAAATTTGTGGTGTTTCCACTTGTTTTTACCATTTTATTGCACAAATTACACTTTGCTGTTCCGTTTTTTATTTCACTATAATTCTTTTTTATTAGCTTTATGTCCATTTTTCTCACACCGCCGATCTTCACTTTTTTCAATTTGATCAAAGAGTGACCAACGCAGAAATATCAGATAATATCAAAAAAAACTATCGCACACTCGATATTTGGGGGAAAAAAATATTACGATATAAATATATTATTTTTCCCAAAAAATATCGATATATTGATATTTCGATATATTATCAACAACCCTACTTAGCGGCGAAATACATAAACAAAACGCCAAAATCTAATCGGTTTGAATTCATTTTTGCTTATTTGTTTTTCGTTTACAAACAACAGCTTTTCAGTATTACCCTTTTCCTTAATTTTTTTGGTCACACTATCTCGGTAGCCAAATGAAGAGCGATTTCGCTAACAGAGTCAGAGTACTAGGCTTTAAACTAAATTGTTTTTTATTTATTCTTTTATTTTTTTATGGTCACCCACCAAAAAATAAGAATTAAACAGAATTTATGGTTATTCACATTTTAAATTTCTATGACAAATATTTTCATATTTTTTGTTTAGGCCAACTAAATTTTATATCTGTCACATGTATGAGGCATATAGCTGATATGTCATGTCAGAAAGTAGTACTTATTTATTTATTTATTATTTTTTTATTAATAAAAACAAAAATTATTATTATGTGTAAAAAGTATTATAACCTAAAAAAAATTGCATAGGATTACATCCTATAGCTGCCATATATCATAACAATCGGAAATGACCCAACTTTCGTGTTTTTGAAGATAGAAAGTTGAAACTTCTTACAGATTATATTTATGGCCACCTACCAAATTTCATAACGATCAGTCGACTATATCTTATAGCTGCTATGTATATAACTGAACGAAGACAGAAGCTTAGGACTTTTTTTTAGCTTTATTATAATAAATTGGTTATATTATGATATTCTCATAAAAATCGAGATATTCTCATAAGCTTTTACTGCAAGGGTATATCAACTTCGGTTCCGCCCGAAGTTAGTTTTTCTTTCTTGTTTATTATATTTTTACCATTAAATGTTTTTAAGCAAATACAAAGAAGCAATTGAGGTGGTCACAAAACACGGAGGAAGCATGCCGATCTTAACTATTGCCAAGTAAGTTCCAATTTAATGCTACGTATTATTAAAATATATTTGGACATTTTGGCCCTACAGACTTTATATAAATTACTTGCTGGCGAGTAAGGAATATGAGACTGCAGCAAAACAATGTCAGCTTAGGCTTGGCAACAATAAATCTTTGTGGGAAGAAGCTGTGTGCAAGTTTATACGATGTCAGCAGCTACGGTCTGTTAGCGCGTACCTTCCCACGTCTGAAAACTGCGAACTCGGTCCACATGTATATGAAATGGTTCTGTTTGAATTTTTAGAGTTAGACGCCCAAGGCTTCCTAAATCTCATAAAAAAATGGCCATCGCGTTTATATAATAGTCAAAGAGTCATCGACGCTGTTAAAGCAAAATTTAAGGACGCGAATGATAATGAACTGTTAGAATCACTTGCGCTGCTTTACTCCTACCAAGGGGATTACGAGCGAGCCTTGCCAATTTATATCAAGTAAGTAAAAAAACTGGCCTAAAAATACAGAAATGTTATTCTTTTTTTATTTGAGATCTAGTGATCTTTTCATTTTCAAACGTTATCATCTTACGCATTTAAGCTAAAAAAAAAGAACACGTGCTATGAATTTCTTATACGAGGTACTCGTAGAGTGCAAGGGTATATTGTATTCGTACATATATTCTTGATCAGCATAAACTACCGAATCGATACAGCCAAGTCTGTCTGTCCGTATGAACGAATCGAACAATTGTTTAAAGAGTTATAGATTTTGTATTCGGCTTCTCTACTAAATGGCTTTAGTAACGGTATTATAATTATAATAACAGAGGGTAGAGTGAAGGAGACATCTCTGACCCTAAAAGAGTATATATTATTCATCAGGATCACCTCCTAAGTTGATATGAGCATGTCCGTCTGTCTGTTTCTACGCAAACTAGTCTCTCAGTTTTAAAGCTATCAACTTGAAATAAGGCCTTTCATAACGATCGGCCGACTTTATCTTATAGCTGTCATATAACTGAAAGATCGGAAATTGCCTCGGATTTTTAAACTTTTTTTTAATGTTTTTTATTTACTTTTAAGGTAATTATACAAGCGATGTAGAAATAACCCACTGTTTATGCGACACATTCATTTCGTGATTTTATTTTAGTATTGATGCCAGCCGGATAAAATTAGGTATTTTAGTTTATTTAATTTTAGTATTTTATTTTATTTTATTAAAACAAACCAAGCAACGCGATAACAATAAATTTTTCAATTACAATCGGCAAATAACCTGAAAATTAATTTTCAAAGTTGCTGAGTGGAAATTTTATTCATTTTTAACATTTATCCACGGCGTTGCCACCTTATTTGTATAGCTTTAAGTTTGCCTTGGGGCTGAAATCATAGTCAACTTTTGTGTTGCTGGATTCTTGAAATGAATTTGGTCTCGTTTATGCACACATGCATCGGCTGAAAACGCAGTAGTAGATAATTAGAAACGCCAATTAAGCAAAAAAAAACAGTATGCTATAACTTTTGTGTTTTTGAAGATAAAAGGTTTGAACTTTGTTTTGATTTTATTTTTTGCAATTGATCCGACCTACCGTATTTCATAAGGATCGGCCGTCTATATTCTATAACGACCGAAAATGGTATTTGGTAAAAATGTTAACATTGGTATTTTTGAAGATAGAATCTTGGGACTTTTTTTAAATTTATTATTCTAATAATTTGTTTTTATTATATAATTCTCATTAGTATCGGCATACCAAATGCGACACTTGCGATATATGTATGTGTATTCCATCTTAATTGCAAAGTAAATTTGGCTCCGCCCGAAGAACATGAAATAATACTAATTTTAAAATTTAAAATCGATTTGATCGATCTTTTCAGAAATAAAATGAAAAGAATCGATTCTCCAAAAGTAGAATCGTTAACAGCTCTATTTCATTGGGCAGCTATCTTGGACGTTATAAAGAAATTTATTTTTTCGATGTCACTCGCGACATATGTAGAATGGAAAATTCGGACGGCAACAATATTTTTGTGTTAAAATCATTTGATGATTTCGAGCCCAACTCTATGTTTGGTCTTAGAACCTATTCTTAAAATAAAATCTTAAATTAAAAAAGAAATTTTTAGCCTATCTATTTGAAAAATTTTAAAACTTTTTTTGTAGATTGAAAAACAAAGATGTCTTTGAATTAATTCGTTGTTATGAACTTTACAACGTTTTATCAAAATTTATCGTTCCACTTATTGAATTGGACCGTGAGCAGGCGTTTAAAATACTTCTAGATAAAAATAAGATTCAACCGGAGGTTGTTGTCCATCAGCTGGAAGGAAAACAAGAGTATCTCTACTGGGTTTGTTTATTAAGTTTTTCTATGCATTAATATCATTAATCCATTTAATATTTGCAGTATTTGGACTGTTTGCTAAACATTGACAGCAATAATGAGTTCCAACATAAGTTAGTTTTCCTTTACGCCAAGTATAATCGTGACAAACTCTTACCGTTTTTGCGACGATCAAACAAATATGTAATACAGAAAGCACTTGCCATCTGTGACAAGGAAAAGTTTAACGAAGAAAGGGTCTACCTATTGGGTTGCATGGGTGAAGCAGCAAAAGCTCTGAATATTATAATTCACGATGTAAGAAAATTTCAGCCTTAAACGAATTGTATTATGTATTTTTAAATTTATAGATGAAAAATATTCAAGTGGCTATAGAGTTCTGCAAAGATCATAAGGACAACGACCTGTGGAGTTTGCTTATAGATGAATCAATAAATAAACCGGAAATAGTGACAACACTATTGGACGGTATTATGGGTATGATATTACAGTTATTGATTTCCCAATACATTTTTTTTATTTTTTTAGATTATGTCAACCCCGAAGTCGTGGTCAGAAAAATTAAATTGGGTCAGAAAATCCCCAATTTACGAAAATCAGTCGTAAAATTGCTTTGCCATTACAATTTACAAAAAGAGTTGCTATCTTCAACCCACCTTATACAACTTAAGGATTACTTTGACACTAGCTCAGAGATTATAGTTGTCCAACGGCGTGGTTTCCAGATAACCTACGATCAACCATGTACGAAATGCTGTAGTGCAATACACACAAAAAATGCGGCGCAAAATGTTGTAGCCGGATTTAAATGTGGCCACATCTACCACAACTCGTGCTCGCTATCTCACTGCCCTTATTGCAAAGAGTGCCGAATATGGGATTCCGACGAAACCGAAAAGTTACATATGTAGTGATAACTGCTTTCTTTGATCTACCTTCAAATAAATATGCATTTTTCTTTAAAAGTGTTTATTTTTCTTCACGCTATACATAAACGGATGAAAAACTTATTCAAGCCTCAGTTTCAGACTGAAGCTTGGCCACATACGCCGCCTTGTGAGCGGCAATCTTGGTCTTGCGCTGCTCGTTTGTGAGTTTCTTAGCATTCCACCTCTTCTTCGTAACACCGGCAGCCTTTTTAGCGGTGACCTTATGGGTGGGGTCGTTACGAATGGCCTGGTGGGCTTTTTTATAGATATCTTCAAGCTAAAATTAAAGTTTAAATGGTTACTTCCAGTACTAAGAGTAGGAATAAATAATTGTGCGACCGTAACAGGAAATTTTGTCTATTAAGAGACTAAACTTCGAACACGGGTCACTTGCTTTATGTAGTCCATCTTTGGCACAGCCAGCGTTGTGGGATGCAAAATGCAGCTGCAATTTAAAAAATGGACGTGTTCAAAGCGTAATTTTTTGTACTTACATCGTCAGCACGAATTCCCAGCTTTATGTAACGGCTAAATTGGCGCTTAAAGCTCTCTTCATCCTCCTCTTCCAGAGTACGCATGTAATCTGCAACATGCTGCCCAAAGATGTGAGCTCGGTGCACATCTGCATTAAAGCTCTTGGTCTCAGCAGAGTAACCAGGGAACCGCTTAACAGAATGGGGAATATTTAGTCCACCATCAACAGCACCTTTCATGGCACCAAACACACGAGCTCCAGTTGTAGTGCGCGCCAAGCCGACATCCAAAAAGCAACGGAATGCTCCTGGTCCGTCGTCGACCGGCTCTACATTAAATTCCTCGCCAGTAACCTCAGTGCATCCAGCGTAAAGAGAGTCCAAACCCAACTTGTTGAGCACACGACGAGCTACTAGCAGACCAGTGCAGTAAGCAGCAGCATAGTTAGTCAGGCCAACCTTCAACGAATATTTCAGTGCCGCAATTAATGTGTAAAATATTGAATCTTACCTGAATGCCGTATTTGGGTAGCTCGTGTGAATAGGCTGCGCAAACGACGCGGTCTCCCTCAATTCGTGCATATGCAATCTGCACAGTTATATCCTTGTTGGATAGGCGCACAATAAGACGGTACTTCGGCGTGTTGTACTTGTTCTTGTCTTGAAAAGTCAAGCGCTTCCTGGCATAGTAATCGGTTTTACCCTCACGACGCCTGCGGAACTTAACCTGGTAGCGCTTGAAGTACTGCTTGTTCTTGACTACCTTAACGAAACCCTACAAATTTAAATTTTATATTATATATTACTTACATTTTGCACTTGTATTTAAAATTTTAGCACTTACCATTTCAAACTTTGATCACCGCTTGCGATATTTCTAAAATGGAACAAGAGGAATAAAAAAAAAATTAATACTAAATAAAACGTGGCGTAAAATTTCTCACGTACGTACCTCGCCGGAAACGGATAGAAAAAGAAGGAAACTAAATAATGTGACCAACTGCAGCGTGACCCCAGCGATAACGATACACTTTACCGATAACGATTAAGAACAAGGTATGGAAGAAAGAAAATATATTTGAATGGTACGCTACATGCGTATGCTTGCGTCAATGTTTTTGGGGCTCTATCTTAGCCATTTTTATACATTTCCACCCCTTAGTAAAAGGTTGGGATTAGTATCATGAATTACGTATTATTTCTAATTGGTGAACCCACCAGTGAATACATAAATACCAAAGATATGTACAAATTATGTATGTACAAATTTGTTTAAAATATACCGCAAGGTATAAAATATATCAAAACAGCGCACTTGCTAAAAGCAGGTTAATTATTAATTATACCAATCCTGAATATTTAATATTAATAATATTCAATTAATCAGCACCTCACCGAAAGCCCCCTAATTAATAAATAGATGGGATATCTCATGAATGCCACCTACAAAATACATCAGTGTGGTATATATTTACATATATACCAGAGAAATACTTTTATGTACAATTTGATTAAAATATACCGCAAAGTATGAAATCTATCAAACAATGATCAATTATGGTCAAAATGGTCAGGAAAAACCTATACCAAAAGCCAATAAAAAATTTTTTTAATAAAGTTGATTAAATTTTAAATTTTGAATTAAAGAATGTTGGGAACACATTTTTTAGATCCATTTTCTTTTAACATATATTACAATTGAAAATATACAAAATATAATACAAATTTTATAATCTCTTATTTCAGAGGCCTTTCCAGATACAATACAAATTATCCCTTGTTCGCCAAAATGGCTTTGCCCTGGATCCTTTTTGCTCCTCCTGGTTTCCGCTCGGCCCCGTTGCTCCGTCACCGCTGCTGTTCCTCTGCCTACGTTGCCGTTGGTTCCATAAATGTCGCCATTTCGCTGGCTGCACGCAGGTCTTCCTAACTTTCAGAACACACCCTTGGGTCGTCTGCGACTGCCCAAAGACTGCGAGCAGCGCTCTTCCGCTTCGTTTCACCAGGGAAACACCGCGCATACGCGCAAGCAATTCTGGATCGGAAGTTAGCTGCTGACTGTCGCCTTCGCTACACCGGAGAAACACCGCGCATATGCGCTTGCGAGACCGGATCGGGAGGTGGCCGGTGATTGTCTTGCCTCCACTATACCTGCAAACACCGGGAAATACCGCGAAAACGCGCTAGCGAGTCCGGATCGGGAGTTCCTTGACAAGTGACCGGGTTGTTCCCGATCAGTTTCTTAACTCGGCGTGAGTTCATGAGCCGGCCTATCCTTGTTAGACTTGTCCTTTCTTCACTTCGTAGGAAGGCTACCTGCCGTGATCGGGAATGACCCAACTTAACTCTGATACCCTGGGCTTTAAAGGAACCGTCCTTCAACGGATCCTTTCTTAGCTCGTCTTTCACATTCTACTCTCGTTGGGCTGTTGGACTCTCCAAAGGCGGTCCTCCATTTTAACGCTACAAGCTTCCTAAAAAGACTCGTCACGATTCGCTCCAATGGGCCTCCATATATACTGCTTGGACCGCCCATTAATCCTCCTATATGCTGCCCCTACCGTTAGTCCTGGCGTTAATATTTTCTTTTTTTTATGCCGTTAATAATAAATCACGCCACTCTCCGTTGGCGGGTCGCTGTTGCATTTCTTTACATGGATGACTTAATAGTCATAGGTTGCTCCGAAAATCATATGCTTAAGAACTTAACTGATGTTTTCGAGAAATGCAGGCAACACAACCTAAAGTTACATCCAGAAAAATTTTAATTTTTCATGCATGAAGTCACTTTTCAAGGACATAAATGCACAGATAAAGGAATTTTGCCAGACGACAAAAAATACATCATTAAAAATTACCCAGTCCCACATGATTCGGACAGCGCTAGAAGATTCATTGCACTTTGCAATTATTACACACGTTTCATAAATAATTTTGCTGAATACTCCCGTCACATAACAAGATTATGCAGTAAAAATGTAAAATTCGAATGTACTACAGAATGTCAAAACGCCTTTGAATATTTTAAATCAGCATTAATAAATCCAACTCTGTTGCAATACCCAGATTTTAGCAAAGAATTTTTCATAATCACAGATGCTAGCAAATACGCTTGTGGAACAGTCCGAACTCAAAACAAAAATAGACTTCAGCTTCCGGTTGCATACGCATCAAGATCCTTTACGAAAGGTGAAAGCAACAAAAGCATTACAGAACAAGAACTAGCAGCTATTCATTGGGCAATAACCCACTTCAGACCACATATTTATGGTAGACATTTCACTGTCAAAACAGACCGCAGAGCGCTTATTTACTTATTTTTAATGGTAAATCCGAGTTCCAAACTAACAAGAATGAGTTTTGAATTAGAGGAATATAATTTTACGGTAGAGTACCTAAAGGGTAAAGATCATTATGTAGCCGATGCGCTCTCTAGAATAACGATCACAGACTTAAAAACATACAATTAAATATTCTGAAAGTCACTACCAGAAACCAAAGTAGACAAAAATCCTGCGCAGGAAAAGTACAAAAAGAATTGCATAAGCAATCTATTGAAGAACCTTTAGAGCCCAACGTACATGAAGTCATTAATAATGATGAAGTACGTAAGATGTGTTTATTTAAGCGCGGAAAAAAAATTACAGAAAGATATGATTTTAGCGATTTGTATACTAATGGAACCCTTGACTTAGGTTAGTTCTACCAAAGGCTTGAAAAGCAGGCCGGTATTCACAAAATCAGCCAACTCAAAGTGGCACCGTGGGAAAATATCTTTGAACATGTTTCAATTGATAATTTTAAAAATATGGGCAATTATATATTGAAATCATTAAGAGTAGCGCTACTCAACCCGGTGACCATAATACAAAATAATAAAGATAAAGAAGCTATATTGTCTACATTTTACGATGATCCAATACAAGGTGGTCATACAGGCATTACAAAATCTTGGCCAAGGTCCAGAGGCACTATAACTGGAAAAATATGTCCAAAGGCATAAAAGAGTACATATAGAAATGTCCTAAATGCCAAAAGTCTAAAACGACTAAACACACTAAGACCCCATTAACCATAACCGAAATTCGGCAAAGAGCTTTCGATAGAGTAATTGTGAAAAGCTATATTTGAAAATTTTGTTCTAAAGTACGGTCCAATGAAGACGTTCATCACGGACATGGGAACGGAATATAAAAATTCAATTATTGAAGATCTATGTAAAAATTTACACAATTCTAATTGGTTACCACTGGATGGGATCCTGCGAGGACTGGACTGCGTGGTGTATACTACAATATTTTATTCAGTGGAAATTAAAAATTCAATAAAGTTCCAAGTTAATTTAAAAATGCCTTACCGTAGTTTAACCTCCCCACTCCATGACTCTTGACGACAAACTATTATAAAAACTTAATAATTTTGGATTTATCAAGGTTTCGGCGAGGATTTGAGAATACCTACGTATTACTTGCTCCAAAAGCCCCCAACTCAAGTAGGTCCACGGTGCACACCGATGGCCTTTACTTCTCTAGAATCCAAATTCAGGAATTACTTCAAAATTCTTTAACGATTTTGAGCTTTGACCGGCTGGCGCCGTTTTTACATCAAAATGTTCAATCTCAACTATCCGTTTCACATTACCATCCTACGAAGTGGTTAGCTGGCTAGTTCGGTTTTAGCTGGATACGGCAACTCACTGGCAAACTGTCTTACTCTCAAAGGCAATCCTAAATGTCTATGGTCCAATCAAACAAGCAGCTTTTGTATTTCCTTCTCGAAGGCCTTGATTGGTAGTCGGGGGTCCATGGTCACGCTCCTCACATAACTTCGAAGAAGACTTTCTCTGCCTTTCTACCAGAGTAGACTTTTATTAATTAACTTGACTTTACTAACAAACCGTATAACGATACTGGGTGTCGTTTTCTTACATGAGCTTTTTATGCTGATAAACTACCCAGCATCTACTAACACACTTAAAGTTGAAGGATGACGCGTACGACGGTGAAGTCGTTCCCCAGGAATGCGAAAAATCTTCGGTTTTAACCAAATTTTTATAAAGGCTATAATGAGGGATGGAAAAAAAAACTATCAGAACATAGCTTGGGGAGTTTACTACGTAGCCCTGTATTCTGATAGGTAAATGTTAGTCACGGGATTAGTTTTCTGAAGTTGTGGACGAGAAGAGGTGGACGGTTTGTCAGTGGTTCTAACATGTGGTAGTTTCACTCCCACTGGCTTGGACATTTTTTTTCTCATTAAATAAAGCCACGGAGGACATATCAGAGAATTTCTCATTTCTACTAAGAAATTCGGACAGCGAATTATTTTCAGTTCCAGAGGTATGATCGGCTGCGTAATTTTTGTCTGAGCAGGATAAAGTGGATCACTAACAGCGGATTTCTTACGCTTAGGGGACTCATTTAGCAGCTAAAGGTCGCTAAACTAAGAGTCAAGCGCACAGAGCTGGTCGAAAACCAGTGATCAGCTCTTTAAATCCGTTCAGAGGCCGTCTCATGAACGACCTTATTAAGTCCTGGAAAGCACGACAACTATGGTAAGAAAAATGAAGATCAGATTTACGGGAAATGGCAAAATAAAATGCAGAAATAGAGATAAGAACCTCTAATGCAGAAGAAAAAAGAAAGGAAAGCTAACTTCGGGCGAAGCCGAAGTTGATATACCCTTGCAGTTAAAACCGGATATATATCGCAAACATCGGATATAGTTGGCTGATCCTTATGAGAATATGATAATATAACCCAATTTATTATAATAAAAAATTTAAAACAAGTCCCAAACTTCAATATTCAAAAATACCAAAGTTGGTATTTCTACCAAAAACCATTTCCGATCATTCAGTTATATGGCAGCTATAAGATATAGTCGGCCGATCGTTATGAAATACGGTAGTTCGGATTATCTGACCAAAAATAGAACCTATACGAAGTTCCAGCTTTCTATCTTCAAATACACGAAAGTTGGGTCATTTCCGATTGTTTTATTAATATGGCAGCTATAGGATATAGTCCGCCGATCCTTTTGAAATTTTGCATGTCGTATTATTATGCCAAATATAGCTCTCATGTGAAATTTATCAACTCAGGAGGTGATCCTGATCAAGAATATACAGTATATATATATATGTATATACTTTATAGGGTCGGAGATGTCTCCTTCACTGCGTTGGACACTTTTGACCAAAATTATAATACCCTCTGCAAGGGTATAAAAAGAGTCGCAACAAAAAAATCGCCTTCACATATATTACAGCGCGCGCGAAGCAATACGGTTTTAGTTCTAATTTAGTAAAATTTCTGTTGAGCTACCCAGCGTTTTCGGTAGCCGAAAAGCTTCCCAATTCTTAGCAAATAATCAATGCGTTCTATAAAATGCATTTTAAATAGAAAATGAGGGTCGAAGTCTGCTGTCCGCAATGGCTGGATGAT